TAGAGATTAAATCTGACCCAGGGGTTATCATCATCTGCTAAATATGGCTTGTCTCACAAACTTTAAACTTTCTGTTCCAGTGAGGTAAACGTTTTAACATTTCGATATAAGACTGAAGGAAAAAGGACATTACTACTTGTGCCTAGCCTAGAATCTGGACCGTCATTTGCCCAAGCAAAATTATTTAGCTTTGCATTTGGTTCTAGACCAGGGGTGTCAAACTCAGTTTTACTCAGGGGCTACATTGAGGAAAATCTAGTCCCAAGTGGGCCAGACCAGTAAAATTAAAGTATGCATAAATTAAAAACTTCTTCAGATTGTTTCCTTTGTTTTAATATGATCAACATAAAACAACGCTGGAGCCTGAGGACAGTGTATCCAAAATAGTTTAAGCACAACATCACTATTAATAATAAAACACCTGAAGTGTATTTGAAAATGTGAAATACAAAACAAAACACCCAGACTATTCCTCAGTAATTCAAATAACTGATTCGCAGATCACATGACTATATCAGTTTCATGCATGTCTTTGACTCCTGATACCTGACATCTTTTAGCTTTCACCAGTAGTTTAATTGAAAAATGAAACCTTATTTTCAGACTTAATATTGTAAAGTCTGAAAATAAGGTTTACACAATCATCTCGCGGGCCAGATTTAAACTGTGTGCGGGCCTGATCCGGCCCGCGGGCCGCATGTTTGACACCCCTGACGCTTCATTGGAATCTTTGAAATCCTGGCCAGGAATGTTGCTGTCCAATCGCAGCACTTTTAGAAAAGTGATTGTTTTTTATGTTTTATGTAGTTCATCCACAACCTAATGACGGACTACCCCGTTGACATCGGTGGCGGTCCAATCACAGTGCTCTATTGGTTTGATGGGCCAATAGAGCACTGTAAGCACATAAAAAAGGATAAAAACAACATAGTAGATAAAAGAGAGTAAAACGGTTAAAAAATATAAATAGAAAAGTACACGTAAAACTAATTAAAACCCATAAAGTACAAAAGGTAATAAACAAAAGCCGGAGTGCTGTGAACTGGGGGGTTAAATTATGATCAATAAGATGTGATGATTCTATATAAATATAGAATATCAAGCTGATTGATCTTTGAATGTTTAACCAGAAGAACACACTTCGTATTAATTCAGACAGAGTCAAGTATATAATTAAAAATAAACTTTATTTTCTAGACTAATTATAATACATGACAAGCTATAAAAAATGATATGTTATGAGTGTATGTGTGGTGATGGAATGTGAAGTAGATGTTTATCAGAAACTGTGAGTCCTGGGTGTAACAGAATTTGTTGTCTGCTATAAACTAGAGAGTTGATCATTTATAGAATGGCATCTTGTTGTGTCTACGTACCCTGATGGAGACCCTCCTTTGGATCCAAGATGTTGGGGGGGGGGGGCGACACCAAGGCATCGAAGTTCATAGATTAACCGCAATGCGACCAGGTCAGTCCAGAGATGTCTCCAGGTCATAACAAAGAGGTGGACTTGTTGCGTCTCAAATACATGGACTCTTAAGGAGTTGTGCGGCTGTGTCAGCTTGCAGCGTGCAAACAGGTTTGACTCAATGTCAGAGATGTTTCAAAAGAGGTTGGTTCCGAATTAGCCACTTCGGAGTTCCGCTCAAAACTGAGATACTCGGGCAGTCATTCTAGTTTTAAATCTAGAGTTTATCATTTCTGCGAATCAGAATTGGACATGTTTTTTCGGCGTTACCAAACATTCCTCAGAAACCACACCTTCCAGATACACGCTGTTCTTGTTCTGTGGATAAAGAATCTTAAACTTTGTGAGATGGCCTGAATTTGAATCTTATGGACGTTGTGTATGAGTGTTAATAATGATTCACTTGTTAAATCAAACATTACTGATCATAACATATAAATGGATCATTGTAATAATAATTATCATTTCAACTTCACTGAATTAGGCACAGATTATTCAAACATTATTATTACTATTATTATTCATATAACATCTGGGTCATTCAATCATATGATTATTCATGATTATTTAACTTGTGAGTTGAAAAAGTTCACTTTTCATTCAGAGTGTGGAATCCAGCAGTCTGAGATAAGTTTGAAAATCTTGTCTTCATGGACCGTCAACCAGCACTGCAGAATCTTCTGGGTGTTAGAAGATAGATTTGCAACTCCACCTAGATAGTGGAAATATGCATGTAGGTGACCAGTCACTATGTGGTCAATATATAGGTCAAAATGGACCCTTTCTGGATGTTACAGGACTCAAAGATGTTGGGGGAAAGCTAGTAGATAAAAGTGAATTTTCAGGCAAGACTTTAACTCCTCTAGAGAAACAGCTTGCTTCACAGCCAGAGGAAGCTCATTCCAGAGTGTAGGGGTCATTACTGAGAAGGCCTGGTCCCCCCTTGATTTGGGTTTTGGGCGGGGGACTTCCTGCATCTCCTGCTCAGTGAGGCGCTGGGCCCGAGTAGGGTCCCGCCGCTGCAACAGTTCAGCAATATATGGGGGAGCACTGCCCTGCAGCACCCTGAACACATGGAGGAGGATCTTAAATCTCGCTCGATAAAACACCAGGAGCCAGCACAGAGAAGCTAGCACTGGCGTGATGTGGCCTCTCCTTCTGATCCCAGTCACAAGTCACGCAGCAGAGTTTTGGACTAACTTGAGTCGTGCAGTAGTAGCTTGACTCAGTCCAGCATACAACATATTACAGTGGTCGATGCAGGACGTGATTAAAGTGTGTACTACTGTTTCCAGATGTACTTTGGACAGGAGAGGCTTTATCTTGGACAGCCATCTCAGATAAAAAAAACATACTCGAACAACCATGTTTAGTTGTGCATCAAATCTAAAGGCTGCATCAATTTTCACCCCTAAATTTGTGACCACATTCTTTTTTATATTGTGTCATGGAATCAAGATCAATCCCATCGCTTGCTCCAGCTCTTTCACAAGGGCTGAGTATTATAACCTTAGTTATAGACTCATTTAGGAAGAGGAAGTTAGCAGCCATCCATGACTTAGCTTCCCTTAAACAGTCCATCAACGCAGACACAGAGGCTTCTGCTCCACGTGAAAAAAGCTAATAGATCTGGCAGTCGTCTGCATAAAATGGAACTTATCACCATGGCACTGAAGGAAGACCCCCAGATGTATCAGTCTCTGAAGAAGCTGCTCGACGCACCCACAGAGTAATGCAGGGGGTAATGTGGGTTGTTTATGATGGACGTCAGAGGACAGGAGTTGTAAATTAGCACTAGCTACACACTCTGAATGTGTCGCTTTGACTGCAACTCACACTATGTTGGACAGCAATGTCAACTAAATATTAAAGCAATCAAATCAAAACCAAGACTTTTTGGGAAATCAGAACAATAATCAAAATATATTTAAAAGAAAACATAAGTGTCAAAAGGATGAGAAAATAAATATTGTGTTACATCCAGTAACTGTAAATTTCACATTCTAAGTGATGCACAAAGTTCTAATTTAATAACTTTCAGAAGAAAAGACAACAGCATAAAAAAAAACAAGAATATTGTTTAAAAGATGCTGGTGGTGTCCCACAACCAGTAGGCTTTGATCACCGGACCTCAGGGACCTGCTGGGGGTGTAGGGACTGAGAAGATCACCAATGTATGATGGTGCTTGTCCATGTAAGGCCCTAAAGACCAGAACCAGGATCTTGAAAGGAGTATAATAATGAGCCAAATAAATTTTACTTCCTTTAATGAGTCGCACAGAGCAATAACAGTAAGCTACCAGCCAGACGATACTTCCTCCATGCTGGAGCATATTACCATGATAAGTGTAGTGAGTGCTCCCTAAAACACCCAAGAGTGGTAGCACCAGCTTTGACACTGTATTTATAAACTTACTGTGTGTGACTCGTCTTTGCTAGTCATCTAGAATCTTCTGGTGCTGACCCGTGACTGACAACAGCCATGAAACTCGTGGAACGGGAGTGAGAGAGTGATGGCATTAACCAAATTTGACCACAGGATGTCATCTTACTTTATTCTCACTGCATCTTTAATAGTTTATTTTTTTTTATCATAATTTTTTTTACTAAAATACTCCAGTTTTTCTTGATTCAAATAGAACTTTATGTCTCGATAAACACTCAGAAAAAATGCGGCTAAACTTTGTGCAGAAATATGTTTTGTTGAACAAAACATAAATGATGTAACTTATTTTTTCAAGCATGAAATCTTATCCCATTATTTTTACTCTGCTCTAAAAACAGAACAATACAGAGGAATAAAAAGTGTGTCACAGCTGGCCTGAAGGCCTCAGCAGATCTTCTTATGTGGATGTGAGACATCATTTGTGCAGAAGGTCACTGATGCACAGGCGATGACAGAGCTGAACCCAAACGCATCATCACATCACTACCTGTGTGAACAGGCAGCTAAATAAACGTATCTCCGCGTGATTTCGGTGCATCACGTGCGAATATGAAAGCCCCAATCTCCCCTCCCCCTCCCACCCTGCGGCTGGGCTGCTTTGGTGAGGAGTTTTAGCTGTCTGCCGCCCCCTGCTGGCTTTCCTCGGGTACTGGAGATGTTACGCATGCAGGAGAACCCTAATCTCCTTACTGCAGACAGCATCCCAGTGCACATATGCACAAAAAGGATAAACGTGGCGTCAAATTTGCTTCTTCTCATATTTAACTCGGAAGAAAAATCAGATTTGAAGCATTTTGTGTAATTTCTTATTCATTGACATCAACTCACGGCGTTTATTTACGCAGCAACAAAAACAGTCCAAACTGTATTTGATTTATTACATTAAATATAAAATAAGAAGAATTTGCGTGAGGTTTCCTCTCAAGGCGAGTTATTGTAAATAATCATAACTAATCCGCGCGTTTGGAAAAAAACATAATGCCTCTCGGACGCGTCTTTACGCACGGACATGGACGCCCTCTCCGGGTGGAGCGGATTGGCTGCTAAAGATACCAGCGGCTGAGCGCTCCATGCGATTGGCTGCGGCTCTGCTGTCCCTTACGTTATGCCCAGTACTCCACACACACACTGGCAGCTGGAGAGGGAAGACGTAATGGTTTGATTCCCTGCGCGCTCGCCATGGTCGTCGCTGTGACATTACTCGGCAGAATCCTCTAACGCGAGGACGAGATGAAGGTATGTGGTTCCGTTTGGGTTCGTTTAAAGATCTGGATGCGTTCTGCGTCTTTAAGATGTGTGCGCGAGGTTATGATAAGAGACAGGGAATGCCCCTCATCTTCATGGAAATTAATTCCAGTTTGAGCTCTTTGATGCTTTTACGTCAGCAGGCAAAATTCACTGATCAGTTTGCACTTTTTGTTTATTGTCTCTCCGGGGCTGCCGGTGTCTTATTAACCTCCCTGCCTTGCATGCACTCGCATCCTGTGCATCTCCAACCCTCTTATAAACAGTAGGAACACTGTGTCGCTCTCTATAATGAGCCTGCGTTGACCCCGGTGTGATAGTTTAGTGCACTAAAGCCTTCGCAGCGCCGTCCATTCACCGACAGGCTGTAATCCGCTCTAACGGGATAGAGGCTGCGGTCAGTCTGAGCGGGACCGGGCTGAGGATCACTCCCCAGGTTCGAGCTGTGTCATCATCCCGACCAGGATCCCCCTTTCTCCTCTTCTTGGAGAGTGGGCTGCAGCGCAGCGGGATGCAAAAGGTGATGCTGATGCTGGAGATGAGCTCAGGACTGATGCTGATGGAGAGGCTGGCGATGATGTCATTGTGTTCTGGAGGTGGCGAGCAATCCTGGTGACAGTCGACCAGTCGTGTGAGAACACGGTGTGAAAACCCATTTAATCACCTGTTAGAGCAGCCTTAATGTGTGTATGGAGTTAGGAAAAGCTTCTATTTCAGCCTCATTTATTTGATGCAGTGCAGTGGAAACAATAACAAAATGTGCATTCAGCAAAAAGTTTTATTAGGTTGCTTCACAGTCGTGCAAAAAGCTGAAGGCATCGCTTTGTTTGCAAATTTAGATTCAAATTTAGCTGAACTTGCCTGCAGAACAGAAAAATATTTACTGGTTTAGGTCAATGCTGCATGGGGTTCATTCATGGCTTCAATCCTGTGTGTTTTAGTTGTTTTCATGCTTCAAAATACACAGATGACTTGTTCATCATGTCCTCGAGCTCTACAAAGGCCTGGGAATCATATCGGGACTGTAAATGATCTAAAACGTCCAGAAAAGTAATGCTCGAGGACCAAATTAAACATCAACCACAGGAATATCTTACAGTGTGATAGGGCAGCGAAAGCCCATCAGATCACCCAAAACATGTGTTGGGATGGAGAGATAGAATGCACACCACAGAAAATGCAATATCCTGAGTCATTTGGAGCTTTAATATTGCATAGGAATAAATGTAGTCCAGCACTTCTGACAACATCACAGTGTCAAAGACCTTTGACCTCAACCATCAACCCCAACAAACAGTTAAATACCGCCTCAAATAACATTTTTACCCATTTATTGCAAAAAAGATCGCAGAATATATTACACAAAAAAATTATTTTCTAATATTTTTCTGATTAATTAAATTAACCCTGCAAACAGTCAGCATTGCATGGACGTGCAGATCATGACCATATTAAGTCTGTTGGTCCAGACCACGTCTGTAGGACATCCAAACTAGGTCTTTGCGCAGTGGGAAGGGTTTTGCCTTTAATAAAATGTTTATAACGACTAAAGATGAGACAGTGGCTGGGGAGAGGGAAGTCTGGGCCTCTCAGCTTACGCTAGTGCAGAGCGACCGACTCCGGAGAAGCGGATGAAAATGGATGGATGGATAAAGATGAGATATTTGTAGGAAATGGTCAAAATCATGGACGTAATTTTTTGGGGGGGACAGGGGAACATGACCGCCTACACACACACACACTTTTTCATAAGGCAGTTTGGATCCATTCTTAGGTGTATTTTATTGAAATGAGGTAAGATACCATATTTTTTATTTTAATGAGGTCTAGACTCAGCAGACATACTAATAAAGTTGTATAAAATTTGGATCCTCGACCCCCCCACCACCACCACCACTCAAGCCATATGTGTAAAATAGTTTATTAAGCCATCTTATTTGTTCCAGAAAATGTAGAAAAATCTGTAGCGGTTGTTTTTATGCAGAAACAAAATAAACAGAAAGATAACGAGTAAAACATGATAGAGATTACTATTTCAAAGGCTTTTTGTTTGAATAATGTATTGTTTTCAATTTAATTACTGAAACAGTCACCAGCAACAGTTTGGGGGCAGATTATTTTTAGATTTGTTTTGGGGGGTTCAAAACAATTTTCAAGCCATTGCTGTCTCATGGAATTAAAGTTTTTCTTTTTTTTTAATAAGGATCGGAAACATAAACAAATTCATAAATAACTCATCATGAATCTAAAACATTTCTACCATGGTGACTCTCAGGTCAGAACATGTGCACACCAGCAAAATAAACACCAATTCAGAGATCTGTGCAGAGTCAGCTGAAGGAATCAGGAGTGACCTTTGAACCGCTCTGCTGAAGTTTTCTCCTGAACTCTTCTGAGCACGTTTTTCCAGCTGCTATATTTGTCCTCTGCACTGAACATTTCTCTGGAGGTAATTTTGAGTTTTACCCGTTACATGTGAGCTCGGACTCTTTAAAGTTCATAAAGTCGTTATTTAAATCATGGCGCAACTTATCCAATAATAATAATTTACTCTATTGGTATAAATATAGAATATTTGCCTCACAACTGCTAAGAGTTCTTTATTTTTAGATTTTTTTACACGTTGCACAGCAGTTAATTACAAAATTGTGGAAGATAAGCAAACAGAAGGCTTAACTCTGTGAAGTTAATTTTCCCCTGGCACATCATCACTCATTTTGTCCCAAAGAAACCAAATGGATGTTTTTGTTTTGTTGACTAATCTGGTTTAAATTGAAAAGCTGCTTTTCTGCCCCTGCGGAGAGAATGGCATTTTGTTTACGAGCACACATCCCAAACTGGGAACTGAAAGTTACAGAACGAAGCTTGACTGCATCCAGGCCACTCCATCTGATTTCATCCTAAACACTTGCATACCATTTATTTTTTTAATCCATTAGTAAGCACTTAGAGAGGACGAAGTAGGAGCAAGTATTTAGACAAACCATTGCGGTGTTGCATCCCTTAATGAGACAAATTCACTTCAGGGCTAGATTCTATACAATGAGTCCAGAGATACTGGGAACATCCAGAGGGCACTGCAGATGTTTGGTGTGGGTTGTAAAATATTTCTGTCATGTTATTCTAGCAGCTGCAACATAAAACCTATTAGTGTAGCTGCAACAAAGGTGAAATAAACCAAATATCTCCTCTGCTTTTGGACAAGATTTTATCAACAGACAAAAGAAAAGTGTGTTTGTTAGCGAAAACTTCCTCATACACTAAGTGAAGTTTCTTGAAGCTCTCACAAGGTAAATAAGAGATCTAAATCAGACCTACATTTAATGTCAACCCAATTCAAGATGCCCCCCACAGCTAATCCACTTTAGCAAGCACAAAAATGGCTAACTCGGTAAATTTAAAGGAGTTGAGCAAAAATGTGGCATGGTAGTAGTTTAGACTCCTCCCTAACATGCACCCCGAAAACAGTCAGTGCGTTTACATGCACGTCAAAAAAATGAACATTTGCCCTCAATAGACTAATGTTGTTTTTTTTAAATGCGTGTAAACGTGTTAGTCTTGCTGAAGGCAAACTAGTTCTAATTGTGCTGAAGCACCTACATAATGCAGTAGAAAACCAACTTTGTCTGCATGTAAACGGTAAACAAGTGACAAGACCACAGAGATGATCTTCTGATGAGATCATCACCACAAAATAACACGCAAAACACCATCAAACAGGACAGCATGTACCAAATAAGCTGTGTTGCAGCTATGGATGTAGTTTTGACTTTCGAAGTGTGTGTGTGTGTGTGTGTGTGTGTGTGTGTGTGTGTGTGTGTGTGTGTGTGTGTGTGTGTGTGTGTGTGTGTGTGCGTGCGTGCGTGCGTGCGTGCGTAAGTGCGTGCGTGCGTGTGTGTGTGTGCGTGCGTGCGTGCGTGTGTGTGTGTGTGTGGAGGGGGTGGGGGTCTTTACAGAAAGTATACAAAAAATATGCATGAAACTACAGCCTAGAGGCTTTTTATGCAATGTCAGAAATGCACAACTGTCAAGTACACATGTGGCAGGAACAGCCAATCACACGTTAGCAAGTATCAGCAGAGCCAATAGATGAGCTTATGGACGGTTCTAATAGGAAACAGCCTTCAACACAAGCAGTTGTTTTCCGCTTGGTCCTAGTGCTCAACCAGTGTCTATTTAATATAGCAGATTATTGTTTTTGGAGGGTAAAAAGTGCAGGGGATAAAAATTGACTTTGGAAAAAGTGGGGGGACATGTCGCCCCTGTTCCCCCCAAAACTATGTCCATGGCTCAGTGTTGTTGTTGTCCATTCCTCCCATCATTGTACCTATCTTATTTGTAGTTTGCCTGCTTCACCCCCGCCAGTGTTTGTTTAGTATTTGTGTAACTAAGCTAACAGGAGGAATGCTGACACAAAAGGGCGCCTGTTGCCACCTACTGTACCGGAACAAACTTCATTTGAGGGTTCTGCTTTCTAGCACACATGTAAACTAGGATAAAAGCTCCCAGTTTACTACTTTAGATCGACCTAGAAGTGCATGTAAACACACTGGCTGGTTTAACAAAATCTTTGTTTCATTCTCTGTTATTGAAGTCAACTCTGTTATCCATTTTAATGAAACGCTTTATTGATTCCTTTTTAGGTCACCCCATCCAACATGGCCACCACTGCCCACTGACCTTTAACTGTTTTCTACTTATACTTTTTGAAATATGATTGTCACTTTGAGTTTTATGTGCAGGCTAAACATGAAAATTGTCTTCTACCCGTTAATCCTTCGGAAGCCAATAATAGAAAATAGACTGGGAAACACTCGGATTAGAAAAGTCTGACAAGCATGTCATGATGCCAAATTAGCATTTATGAACTCACCCATATTGACTCATGATGGGGAAGGCTGTTGTTGATTTAGCATCCAGGAGAGAGCAGAGGATGTCTCTGCTAGTAGAAGCTAACTGTTAGCATTACCAACTTTACAACATGGCAAAAT